AAATAGAAGACATTAGACCACATCTCTGCAAAATGACAGGAGCATATCATATGAATTCATTATTGTTATTATGGAGATCTTATCTGAGAACTTGAATATATACTCAGTAGTATACCTAATTTTAATTCTCTTTACAAAAATTCCTTCTACTACTTTATATATTAAAGCTCATATACTTATATTTTTGATGATTTTAACAATTGAATTATAGGTGGTATTTGTAGTACTAAATATTAACTTCCAATTTGAAGATATGTTACTCCATATACACAAGTTTTCTTTGACAATCTAGTAGTGTTGGTTATGTGTAACATCTGAGCATTGTTGCCTTTACCAAGACAACACCCTTTACTACAGGGAGCTCATTGAAACAAAAACAGTATAACTACACAACATTTGCATAAATTGTAAAGTCATTATTAACTAAAGAAGTATATTTTATATGGTAAAATCTAGATGAGAAGTAATTTTTAAAACTGATTGGATAAAGTTAATTTGTTTCTTGCTAGATACTATGTAAAGGACTTACTTTTGAGTGGTTAGGTTGGGATTGTATATTATTGTTCTGAACCTAACAATAAAAAAAGATTAAGTAAAACTTGCTACAAAAATATACTCTGTGTGTATAATAATTATATTTATTGAAGCATGTTATGTATTATTTTATAAGATTAGTGTTGTTATCTTATAGATCCCCAGTCACAATTTCTAGATAACTTGGAGTTCCCTGACATATAGGTAGCTAGAATCTGAAGTTTCATGAAAAGTTCAGTTTCGTAATTATTCTAACTTAGGACATTTTAGAAATTTCACAAAGAGGATTTTGTGCTTATGGTTTATAAAAATGAAAAAGTAAGGTTAAGAAATTAATGCATTACTAGATAAATTTTGTATCTCTTAAAAGTTGTTCTTTGTAAGAAATAATGACAAAGAAATGGAAATCAGCAATCCTGTATCAGAAACTCATACCTGCACAAAATGAGGAGAATAATGATGATGATGATGATGGGAAGATTGATGTGTGTGCGTATTATTATTTGACTAAATACTGAAAACTCTACCAATCTTCTGTCTCTAGCCCAACAGTATTTAATTAAAATTTGCAATAATTCAGAGTGGTACAATGTTAATATAAAACCTGTCCTCTATGCTTCATGCTTATTCACTCTGGGAAATACCTATAGGATAGTTCTTCAACAAATGACACCAGGTATTCGCGATGGGGAATGTAACTTGCAGGTGTTAATTCTCAGATAGACAGAGGGAGCAGTGAATTCTAGTAGTATAGCTTCAAATATGGCTAAAGTTTGGATGAAGAATATTTTTTGATGAATAAAGAAAGGGGTAAAGAGATGCCAGAGAAATTATAGTCAGTATGATTATGCAAATAATTCAGTGAACAGTTGAACAGGAAATTTTGATGATCTGCAAATTCATTTCCTTCAGTGCTGGGCCATTAATGGCCTTGATCATTGCGTTCCACTTAGATATGAAGATTTATTAAATTCTATAAAGATGGTTTTTAAATGCTTGGTTTTAAATTACCCACTGGAAGAGAAACTTCTGGAGCAGCAAATGTCTTAGGTTGTAATTTTGTAAGGTAGGCAACAAGAATAATGATTTCTATGTGATTTAATCTCTCAAAGAGATTATTTTTAAGTCTGGAAGAAAAGGAAGACAGTGAAACATATCCTATTTTATCTTCGGCTGTAAAACATTACTTTATAAGAAATACAGGGAAATTGTAAGCTTGGCATCACTGATTAAGATGCATTACCATTAAAAAATAATTATTTTTACTATAAACTCAGAAAGTTATCCCCCACATAAAATAAGTCAGCTATTCCCTGAAGATGTGGAACTTAAGCATGCTCCAACATTTAAAGGTAAGAGAACTAAAGAACATGAGCATGTGACTTCCTTACCTGAAATAAGTGCCAGGCTTTTAGCCATAGATGAATTGGAAAATTAGACCACACTGTTAACAACATACCACCTGCCCTACTTAAAGAGCTGAAGGCTTTTAATTAGGTTCCTACTGTTCTTATCTCCACAGTCTGTTTCACACTCTCTGCTAGCCTTAGGCTCTGAAGCATATTTTCCTGCACCATGCATAATACAAGATTTTGGGGGAAGTCCTGTGCATTTGTCAATAAAGCACTGTCTGGCCAATAGGGAATCTAGATAGGAGGGACTAGGAGTCCAGAAGGACTCTGGGTAGGAGAAACACAAGGAGTCCGACATGTAACACCATGGGGTATGAAGCCCGGAACTATTCTCCGGTAAGAAACATACTTAGATTAACAATTATGGGGTAATTACTTAAGTCAGAGCTATCCAGTAAGAAATCAGCAAGGCCAACAGCTTCCCTTCATAATTAATATAGCCTCCTGTGTGTTTATTTGGGATTGATGTGGCTCTAGAACCAGGCTGGCGGGAAGGCTTCTCACAAAGAAAAAGCTTCTCTTAACACAAGATATATTAAGTTCATGTCAGAACATATTCTGCTAAATTAGTGTTTGATCCACCACTTCCTAGGTAATTTCACTTTGTCATTTTACTCATTTCAGTATAATGATGATCTCAGAGATTTTTATCTCTAAACCGTAGTCTCCAACCTTCTAAAGACTTGATACTTTAATACAGTTTCTCACGTTGTGGTGACCCCAACCATACAATTATTTTCTTTAATTTATTACATTTTTTAAATTAGAAACAAGCTTGCTTCATATGTCAATCCCAGCTCCCTCTCCCTCCCCTCCTCTTACACCCCCTCACTAGCCCCGCCCTCCTGGCTCTGCTCTATCCCCACTCCCTTCCCCATTGGGGATATCCAGGGTCTGTCATTTGGTTCAGGACAGGGCCTATATCCTCCCCCAAGAGTCCAGGCTGAAAGAGCATCCCTCTTTGTGATGGACACCCAAAGTCAATTTACATGCCAGGGATAGGTACTGATCTACTGCCCAGGGCCCTATAGACTATCCAGGCCTCTTCACTGACACCCACATTCAGGGGATCTGGATCAGTCCTGTGCTGGCCTCCCAGTTTATTTTTGTTGTTATTTCATAACTGTTACTTTGCTGCAGTTAAGAATTGCAATGTAAATATCTGATGTGCAAGGTATCTGATATGTGACCCCTATGAAAAGGGTCAATCAATCTCCAAAGGGGTTGTGACCCGCAGGTTGAGAAATGCTGTTCTAGAAGGACAATAAAATATAGCAGATGTTATTCTCATATTTTAAGTTGAACCTCAGTCTGCTTTTTAAATCAGGTGACATAAAGACTAAATCTTTGTTGTTTGAAAAACAACTCAATATAGCTGCACACACTTAGATGTATATATCAGCTTTTATAATTAAGTATGTAATCAGTACAAATTTATCATTGAGGCATGCAAAACATTCCCAGTGGTCAATTAGAAAGATTTGAGAGATGTGATGCTACATAGAGTGAAAAGAATTTTGCAGCAATTAGATTTTTCCTCAAGAACGTGTTCTCAAAATGTCTTCAACCATCATACTTTTTAGTTATCTGTGGACTGTGTTGGGAATTGAACCTGTGAATAGTTGGAAGAGTTCCTTTTCTAGGTCAAACATCTATAAAATCATATGTGTGAAACAACAAAATGTTTTACACAACTGAACATTTCATTCACTTTTTTTCATTTACCCTAATTTTGTATGCCTTTTGCATTACTCTGATTCAGTCTTGTAAAAAGACCCACAGACTTGGATTTTAACTTATGTGTTTCAATTACTTACATATAATGTACTCCTATCAAAAATGCTATGTGTAGAAAATCAAACTTTGTGTAAGACTTCTGTGAGGTTATCTGAAAACAACGCTTAGTAATCGCTTGAATCATAATATAAATAATGGTATTAATTTCCATTTGAACCATGTTTCATGCTCATGATTTATTGTTGTCATTATTAATCAAATAACTATATACTTCAAAGAAATCAGTACCGACAGCTGTGCTTGTTATCCTTTACTATGTTTGAAACCAGATTTTTTTGTGGTTTGAATTTGTTTGTGTAATGGTTATATGGGATGTGACCAAGATTTATGAGAGCCTATAATGTTTTTACAGATATATAAAGTAATGGTATGATAAAAGCCTACTTTGGAAAACAACATTATTCATATGAATTAATTGTGACAGAAATCTTATATTGTAGTTAAATACTGCACATTACATTGAGAAAGATTCACTTGGAATGGGCCTGAAAGCTTTCTTTACCTAGTGTACAACTATTCTAATATGGTGATATTTGAAAGCAATTTTAAATAAGAAGTGAGGCCAAAGATACTGTTTGTGTTCGGTTTGATGCTGGCAAACTCACAGAGGCATTTGTGTTACCTAGTAAATATTATTCACACTTAGAGAAAATGACTCACATTCATTTTTTGTCATCACCTATTTAGATTTTTCTACTTTGTGTTAAGAATAAATTTTCATCAAATGTAAACCTCTCATTCTCCTCTAGATTTATAGCAACAATGTTGTGGTAACAATATGGAGAAACAATTTCTCTCTACCACATCTTGAGATTCATTTAAGCTCTTTTTAATAAACATAGCATTTAACATTTCCTATCTCTGATTACTATAATATTTATATACCTATAGCTCTTCAAAAGCCAACACCTTAAGACCTAGATGTTAGTTACACCTTGGATTTTTAACAACCCGCTGAACAAACTAGAGAAATTTAATTTAAAAAAATTTTTTGTTTAACATGAACACTCAATATTGGTGAAGTAGCTGCTTGATGTTTTTCTTTAACATATCTCAACAAATGCTACCCAGTTGAAATTACCTGCAGCATACTGAAAATGTGAAACTAATTAGTCAGAAAGTCCTTGATCATGATGAATGTGTAATGATTGACTCTTCTTTCAAAACTGGTTTTATTTCAAGTCTCTGCATTGATGGACTTGTGTTTTGCTATTTACTGATTTCTTGCTGTTTTTGTTGTTGTTTCACTCTTTCTAGATGCTCCACTAATTGGTCAGGTACACAGTGTGAAAGACCAGCTCCGAAGAGTAGCAAGTCTGAACTCATCAGCACAAGTAAGTGTCACAGAACAAAATCTCCATTTGCATACTATACCCACCATTCCATCTTGTTTTAAGTAGTCATTGATTGATATGAGTCATCAAAGGTTATTAGGAATCTCATGTAAATAGAGAAAACTGTTTTGGTGACAAGTTTGAGATATTGTAGAAAATGAAATGTGATCGGTCAGGCTATGAAGAAGTTAATTACTAACCCAACATTGTAACATTGTTAAGTGATCTATCTCTTTAAGCATGTGTGTGTGTGTATCATCTGTTATTTGTAACACTGCAATCTCAGAGCATATGTACCTCAATCAGCATTGTGTGATCTTCTCTATTCTGTGATAACAATCTGTAAAAGTTTTCAAAATAATTCAGAAAACACATATTGTCAGATTATTTGACCTTGAATTGGGTGACTTGAAAATCCATGATGGAAAACAAGCAAAAACATGTGTAGAGGAGGAGGAAAATTTATCCCTGATGACAATCCTTAAATTTAAAGATTAACTTCAGGAGATGCAAATGATAATCACATTAATCAGCATATATAAATGGCAAAAATGACATGGAGATTAGAATTATATTATTGTACACATTAGTAATAGGCTCTGATTCTTTTTTGTGTACATATTTCTTATTCCTATTTCTAAATTCTTCTTTATTTTACAAGTAAGTGTTTTCAAATTTCTCACATTTGGTAGTTACTTTCAGTTATTAACTATGAGCATTTTGGAAAAGCTGCATATACTTCTAAAATAGTTGTTCTTGACCTTTCTTGTGCTATAACCCTTTAATACAATTCCTTAAGATGTGGTGATCCATAATCATAAAATTATTTTTGTTGTGAATTCATAACTGAAATTTTACTACTGTTATGAATTGTAGTACATATTTAGAGATAGAGGTTTGATAGAGGGGTTGCGACCCACAGGTTGAGAGTCACTTTTCTCAAAGACTGTCCTGGTCACAAATATTATAATTTTTATAGGTAAGGTGTATGTGTTTCAGTTACAGATTATTAATAATTTCTTTGTACTGTTTTTGCTGTGAGGATATGAACATAATGGTAGGATGCTTTCATTCAACTTACTTTAGGAAAATTCTCAAGGATCAAATTTAAAGAAGGTTCAGAGTCTTTGACAAGAAAAGTCATTTTAAACATTATTGAAATTATCTAAAAGGAAATAATGAACTGGAGTAAAATGTCTATCAAATTTTCTAAATTTTTCATAAAGGCTATACTCAGAGAAAATTTGGATCATAGAAAGGGTCTTGGCAAAGGATGTCCCAGATGTTTTCTCTAGGAGTGGGATATTCACATATTTGCATGGACAACAGCCTCACCCTTGCTTGGAAAGGAATACATATGACTACTGTGCACTAGTCATTTCTTCTTATGTTTTATTTGTATTTCTTCTCATGTCTGATGCTACAGGATGTCAGGTGTGAGGAGCACTGCCCTGGCTTCTGGGACTTTCCTTCCTTACCTTCAGTGAAAGTCCCTAAAATTAACAGACATGTTGAAAGTGCCCTTACTATTCAGACATTACAGTTTCACAAAAGGAGCCACCTTTCCTGAACAATGATTTTCTCAGAAGATGACTGTGTCACGTGAATGCAAAGAGAGCAGCAATACAGAAAGAAACCTCAAGATGATTTTTTAAATTTAATTAGAAATTTACTACACTTATCCCTGAAAGGGAAATGGAAAAAAAATATAAGAAGAAAAGGCTAGTTCACAGTTCAAAATCTTACTTCATGGGTAAATACCCAAGTTGCTACAAGATTACTGTGATGTTCAGTCATGCATAGACAGTGATTGTTCAACACTGTTGTTCCAGCTCACAGGACAAAAAGCCAGGCTCAGAGGATGGTGTTCATGTAGAGGAAAGCAACATGAGAGATCTATAAAGTTTCCTGAATTGTATTTTCTCACAGAAAGCTGCATCAAGTTCAGTTATTCTAACAAGCAAAGAATTTGATTATGTATGATATTATGAAACATACAACAATGATCTATCTGGGATGCTAATTTTTCAATACTTTTAATTATAGGTAACTTCTAACTAAAGAGTGCCTATTTTAAGATATTTCTAAATAAAGAACAACCATAAAAGTAAAACATTGTCAAAACAAACAACAAAATAAAACACCTGTGTCAGATGTTCTAGTAAGGAGAACTACAGCTTTATAAAGTAGAGCTGTTGTTCGTATTCTTTCAAGGAAAATCCATTCATTTTTCACTGTTTGTTGTGCACTCCTCAAACATAAGCAAAAGTCATTTGTCCATGAAGAGTATTGTGATTGCAGCTTACACTTGCAAATAAAACAGGGAAGAAGCATGGTGTATTAGCTGCCTACCCATTGCTGTGATAAACACAATGACCACAGTCACTTAAAGGAAGATAGTATTTGTCCCGCGCTACCGTCTCGCCAGCAAGAACGACGCAGAACACTCGGATCCTTCTGCAGTAAAGCTTTAATGCATCTTGAGAGATAGATGATCAGCTTCTTAGAGGGAGACCCCAAGCTAAGAAACCCAGCCCCTTATATAAGCCTAGGAGCTCCGAGTGAGATGTGTAGAGCCGGGATTGGTGGTTTGCACATCACCCCAGATGACGTCACGGGAGAGGCACAGTTTAAACGGTTAACTCCAACTGACAGCGACAGTTAACTCCAACTGACAGCGACAGTTAACTCCAACTGACAGTGGATGTCAGCGCCATCTTCTAACGGCAATAGCGATAGCGAGGGCGGCTCCTCACATCTCCCCCTATTCATTTATTTTTGAAGCAATAGGACACCCACAACTTTGGAGTGGAGATAGAGGTCAAATCCCCATGTGCAAATTCGGAACATGTACAAAGCTCCTCTCCAGGGTCTTATCCCCAGAGGAAGTCCTGACCAGTCCGATGTCTTTTTTCTGGGGGAAGGAGATCATGACATAGAACCTTCATGCAAGATGACTTATCTCCCAGGAGAAAGTCGTTATACCGCAGACCTCTCCTGTGCAGTGCTTAGCCTTGCAACTCCTTGGGCTGCTGAAGCCTACCCACTCTATCCCGTGCAATGAGACTAGCCTCGTGGGGTGCAAGAGCTGGGAGGCCAGCGACCTATTGCTTTAACATGGTTAACCAAATGTCAGGGGATGCTCCGTGTTCTAAGGCAGCAAGTGCTTGTGCCACCACCACTTTCTCCTTTTGTTTGGGCTCTGAGCGTACACACCATCCAAAGCATCAACACTATTCCACAGCAGAGAACTAGGCTAAATGATCCTACCCCCACCCATTCCTTAAAATAAGAAAATGCAGATGAAATCCAGGGGGAGAGGTCTTCCATCAGAGAAAGATCCAGATGCGTCGAATTCACTTGCAGGATCGCCATTCTCAACTCACGGAGTGTCTGCTCAAACTCAAAAGTCCAATTCTGTAATAAATGTTGAGACAGAGCTTTTGACAGGTTAGCTGCTCTTGTAAAATTCTCATATTGTACTAAGTGACACAAAGGCCAGGCAACTTTGTTCACATCCCAATTTGGCCATCTGCCACAATATATCCAATTGTTCCTGAACCAAATTAATCTGTTGGTTTACCAACATCAGGCCTCCTTGTATCTGAGAATTGGCAGTGGCCTGTTTATCTAGGACCATGGTCACAGTGGCCTATAGTTCATTAATGGTTTGAGTTGTCTGCACAGTGGCAGAAAGTGCAAGGGCCGAGGCGGTAACCGAAGCAGTAACCGCGGCGGTGGCTATCAGGCCCACAATAATAGCAGAGATCCCAAAAATCTCGCTTTTCCCTAAACAAACTCAAATTACTTGGCGCCTCAACAGGAGCTGGAATAAATCGAGGCATGCGCATTACCAAAGCAAAAGGGTGCTTAATAGCATCCCAGCATAATGCATAAAAACAATTCTAAGCAGAACAATTTATTTCTTTCTGATTCTTACCTAAGGTATCATTACTCACAACCCAAATAAAGGGCAGCTGAATAATTAGTTCTCTTAAAAGGGGTATACTTAACATTGGAGGAGGACCAATCAGATGATCCAGAGCTCTGTCCCTCACTCAGACTGTTGCCTAATGCCCCTTTCCAATCAAAAGTAATCTGTCCCTTCTCACTATCATAGGAGAAAGATCAGTACAGCTTCCATTAATTCAAAAGGATTAGCATTAGATCTTTCTGGATCCATATGAATAAAATTATCCTTTAATGAAGAAATCACAGTAAAGCACAAGCTTCCTACTAATGACAAGGTTCTCTCATCCTGAAAACTCTGTATCTGAGGATCTAAAGGCAAAAAGGCAAGCCCCAACTCTCTATTAGTTGTGAAAAATCTAGGGAACACCTGGGCATTCTGCATCACTGGCATCGGTAGGGGGAAGGTAGACATGATGGCCCACCGTAACTCTCCCATCATACTAGGAACCATCATCCCGAGTAGGAGAGTCTTCATCACCCACTTGGCCTCCATCCTTCTTATTCTGGAGTTGTGAAGGAGCTCTTCGAGTGAGTCTTTCAGGGATCCACAGGGGGTTTTCTTCCTCCTGTGGAAAAACACACACAGCTCCCCTGGATCTTATAAGAATAGGATCCGGGCCTTTCCAGAGATCAGTCAAGACATCTTTCCATTTTACCATTTCTTTTGGCCTATCAGGCTCTAAACTGTGGCGATCAGCCGCAGTGTGGCCTTGGGCATCACAGTTCAAGAAATTAAGGGTAAAAAGTGCCATGGATACAGCAACTCTTGGTACCGAGGGTAGAACATCCTCAATACTCCCCTTTTGTTTAATCAGATATGATTTGAGTGTACGATGGGCACGTTCCACAATGCCCTGTCCTTGAGGGTTATAAGGTAGGCCAGTTAGATGGGTAACATCCATTTGCCGACAAAACTGTCGGAATTTTTGAGAGGTATATGCTGGTCCATTGTCTGTTTTTAAAATTCTGGGTTTTCCCCAAGCACTCCAGGCCTCAAGGCAATGTTGAATCACATATGAGGCCTTTTC